CCAAAGCCTTGGGACCCAGCACCCATGTGGGAGACCCAGAGTAGGATCTGGGATCCTGGTTTCGGATCGGCATAGCATTGGCGTTGCTCTCACTTAGGGAGTGAATCATAGGACAGAAGATCTTCCTCTCTGTCTCTCCTCCTCTCTGTATATCTGACTTTCCAATAAATAAATAAACCTTTAAAAAAAATAAAAAATAAAAAACAAGAAAGAAAAAAGAAAGATTAAACCCTAAATGTCAAAATGTTGGAAAAAAAACTGTTGAATCTACTTGATTGGCACATGTAACTGAACATTTTGTAGAATAAAAAAAATCATAGAATGATTTAAGATCTACAAAAAGTTCGGAAGAATATAAAAATATCCATGAACTAACCACCCAATTTAATAAACATTACCGACCAATTGAATGCATCTCCTAAAACTACTCCTTTCTCATCAGGGATAATAATTATTCTGAATAAAGTGTTAAAAACTACGACTATTTTTCAAATAATTTTTCTCCCTCTTTCAAATTAATAAATAAGCTCCTAGCAATGCATAATATGAAAAAAGTTACATATGGATTTCAAAATATTTTTGCACCAAAATAATAAACTTGTAATAGTGTGTTACTGCACATCTGACAGGATCTAATTTCAAGCACTAAACAGGATAAGACATTGAGCCCCCTCAGAAAAGCACCATTGATTGTGCTAAAACTACAGAACAATTGATCAAATTAATGGTGGAGCTTAGGCTGAAGAATGGAATTTTATGAAAAGTTTACGGGACAAATTCCCCAAAGAAATCAATAGCTTACAAATGGATAACTCACTTTAACTGACCCACGTGGAAGATTGTGAAGTCCACAATGGCAAACCATTCACTCATCTTTGAGGGAAAAAAAAGTTATCTATGCCCTATCTGAAAAAGACTAACAAACCATAGAAACAACTTCTAATCCCCCACCATCTCCACTGGTTAAGCATACAGGATTGTGACTGAGTGCCCTTGAAGACAAAGTACAGTTAAAGCAAGACTACCAAGGAACAGAGTAGCTCAAAGGAAAAAAAAAGTCAAAAGTGTTCAGGTTTTTACTTTCAGACCAGGGATGGTTTCCCAATGAAACTGTTGAATTTATCTGGACAATAAGATGCTGGACTCTCCATATGGTCCATGCCCGCAATGAAGGAATCATGACAGGTTATGATCTGTACTACTGTAACTATGTGGAGGAATTCAATGTGGGGGGAGGGCTTGGGGAGGGGGTGGGGGAATCCCAGAGCCTATGAAACTGTGTCACAAAATGAAATAAATGTAGTTAAAAAAAAAAGTGTTCGGGTTTTTTAAGATTTCTTTCATTTTTATTTGAAAGACAGAAAAGGCAGATTCCACACAGAAAGGAGACAGAGATAGTCTTCTATCAGCTGGTTCACTCCCCTAATGGTCACAGCAGCCAGAGCTGAACCAATACTGTCCCTCCCACCCCCACAACACTCAAAGCCAGGAGCCGGGTCTCCAAAGTGAGTGCAGAAACCCAAGGACTTGGGCAGTTCTCCTCTGCTTTCCCAGACCACAAGCAGGAAGCTGGATGAGAAGTGGAGCAGCTAAAACATGAAACGGTGCCCATACAGGCCTGCTACATCACTATGCCAATCCCTCAGCAAGTTTTTTTGAGGTGCTCAACACACGTGTTGTTGAGTTTCTGGGGGCCAAAGAATCTCAGCCTTCTACTTGGTATGACAGTTTTGAGAAACCTCTCCAAAGCTCTGGCAGGAAACACATTAAGGGAAGTTTCCCCAGGGTCCTTCTTCCCAACAATGTATACTTATCTAATCAAACAAGGGCACTGTGGAGGCAAACACACAGCCTGGCGATGGCTGACATGCACTGGGTTAGCAGCCCTGCATGGCTCACAGCCCACTCGACTCCTATCCTCAGCTCCCTGCTAACGGACCACAGGAGGCTCTCCTCCCTTCACTGGGTTCCCCTGCCATCCATATGGGAGGTGACATAGATGCAGTGTTGGGTACCCAGCTTTTACCTCCAAAAGCACCGAGCCACACCACAGACACCTGTGGAGTAAACCAGCAGACAGGAGCTCTCTCCTTCTCTACACACAAACTAAAAACCAAAAAAAAAAAAATTATTTCTACAAGAGTTTCAGTTCTGACTTAGCTCCTTTACACTTTTGTCTGTCCTTTCCTCTTCATATCCAGTTAACCTTTTATCAAGGAACGCAGAAAAATTTACCACAAGGGGCCAGCATTGTGACTTTTGGGTTAAGCAAAGGCTTGCAACACAGGCTCCCTGTATCTGCACACTCTACAGTCCAGCTCCCTGCTAACACAGCCAGGAAGCAGCAGAAGATAATCCAAGTACTTGGGCCCCTAAGTGTGTCCTGGTCCAGCCTGGGCTGTTTCAATGGAGTGAACCAAAGGATAAAATATCTCACTCCCTCTTTATCACTCCGCCCCTCAAATAAATTACTTTTTTTTAAAAGAAAGTTTATTTGGGTCCCAGTGCAATGCCTCCATTGGCTAACCCTCCCCCTGCAAGTGCCAGGATCCACATGGGAGCCGGTTCATATCCTAGCTACTCACTTCCCATCCAGCTCCACCGTTTCTGGCCTGGGAAAGCAGTGGAGGATGGCTCAAGCCGTTGGTCCCTACACCCACATAGGAGACCTGGAGGAGGCTCCTAGCTTTGGACCAGCTCAGTTCCAGCCACTGCAGCCATTTGGGAGTAAACCAGAGAATGGAAGGAAGATCTCTGTCTCTCCTTTCTGTATATCTGACTTTCCAATAAAAATAAATTTTTAAAAAAAAGCTTATTCATGGAAAGTCAAAGGTGAATATGTCTGAATTCTTTTTTTTTTTAAAGATTCATTTATGTTTATTACAAAGTCAGATTTACAGAGAGGAGGAGAGACAGAGAGGAAGATCTTCCATCCAATGATTCACTCCCCAAGTGAGCACAATGGCCAGTGCTTTGCCAATCCGAAGCCAGGATCCAGGAACCTCTTTCGGGTATCCCACGCAGGTGCGGGGTCCCAAGATTTTGGGCCATCCTCAACTGCTTTCCCAAGCCACAAGCAGAAGCTGGATGGGAAGTGGAGCCGCCGGGATTAGAACCAGCACCCATATGGGATCCTGGCGTGTTCAAGGCGAACACTTTAGCTGTTAGGCCACGCCGCCGGGCCCATGAATTCTTACTTTACAAATTCCCAATTAGAGTAGAAAAGACGTTCATCCAGCATTTCAGAACTATCCAGACCACAGGGACAGAACTCTCGGATTACGTACACATTGAGACTCTGGGTTGATATATGAAGTGGCGGTTCCTCATCCCTGGGTACTGGGACGTGTGGAAAGGCATGAGTGTTTCCCCGCTTTGTCTCTCCACTTCCCCCAGGAACAACAAGGAGAAATAGCAAATTTGGAAGCAATGAGTTCACCCAATTTTCCCTAAACCTCAATCCTTCCCACCCTGATCAAACATGTAATCATGATTTAAAAATAAAATAAAAAAAAAAAATTCCCAGGCTCTGATAGGAGGGGAAAGACGGCCATCACTGTACCTAACATACACTGTAACAGTTTGCACACAAAGGTATTTCTTGAGCTAAAGGACTACCAAGGCTGAAACAAACTTTCTTAATTTAGATGAATTGCCATATTCCTGCATAACGAAGCACCAACTTGTTTCTGCAAGACATCTATCCTGATAGCAGATTTTTATTGTACACAGGATTCCACGGTTGCTATGATTTCAAAATAGTACCTAAAGGTACATGAAATGTTTTCAAATACAAAAATACCCACTCATGAATGTATAGTACAACTTCAGTTCTACCGTAAAATAAAAGCAATTCATGCCCTTTCCTTTGACACATAACAGCAGTAAGATAAACAAACTATAATTTACAAATCCATCTGTACAAATTAATTCCTGCCTAGGCAACTTCAAAGCTGTATTATGTTAATCATTAACGCTTTAGGTAAGGAAAGTTTACAGTTCACCCTTTATATTTACAGACTAAGAGAATTCAAGAATAAACTTCCTCAAGGTCACTAAAATGGCACGCTAACTTCAACTTCTGACCCACCTCGAGCCCGGCTCAGTGCTGGCTCACCACTCCATACATTCACATTGAATGCATCGTCTTCTATACATCCGAACCTGGCTCAATGCCTTATCAGTTTTCCAAAATAGAAAAAAGGTTTTAAGTATCTTCTCAAGACCCTTATAGATAATTGATGCCACTAAGGAAAACTCACACGCGACTTTCAGCAAGAAAAATGCTGATCAAATACATGTAAATGCCAGTGACATGACGTTTCCATCTTCCACTGAAGAACTGACCTCGAACTGAAACTTCCTAAGAATAAATTTGCTTTACTTGGATTTTTAGATCGACCTTTTGAATATTTCAAATAGCTAGGCACACAAACCAAAACCGCTAGCACGAAGTAGGAAACTATTTTATTTAGAAAAAGTTTGAAACTTTGTTGCAACCTTCTTCGCAGTCTCCTAACAGTACTTGTAAACTCAATGGAGACCATTGACCAAACTGCTTACATAGAAAATCAGGAAGGAGCTACAAAAAAACGGCTTCTCATTTGCCTCTTGTACAAGGTGAAAAAAAAAAAACATTGCAAACTACCAGTTGAATACAAGTGTACCAACTTCATCAAGTTTGCTGAGTTAATCACAGTTCGAATGCGTTAAATGCTTGAAGAACATCTAAGTCATCAAGACCGTTATCTTGCACCAAAAAAGGGCAAAAGAATAAAACCCTTTGCTGATCCTCAAAGTGTCTGTCCAAAGACAGTCGAGCACTTGTCAAGGCTAAAATGATTCTCTCCATCCCTTCGGCCTCCAGCTAACACTTGCGAGTAGAGAAGAACAAGACCCTGGCAAGGGATGTTGAATACAGCTCCTAAGTCAGTTCCTCCTTCCACTGGGGCCAACCGAAAATCAACGCCAATGAAGAACTGAGCAATTTTTTTTAAGACATCCTTGCAAGTCGGGCTGTCTTAACACCTGCCGGCACGATTTTGCAATCGAAAAGGAAAAAAAAAAAAAAACACCATTCTCAACAACCGTCACAAAATGAGGTTAGCACCGAAGGCAAGCCATGCCCGAAAAAGAATCCAACTGTCTAGGGCAAAAACCTTCCAGGGCCGCTGCGGGGGACGGGGGATCGCCAGGGCGTAAACTGCCCTTAATTAGGGAACCTCTTCAGGACCAGCCCTCGGGTACCAGCAACGCAACCATCCCGTGATGGTGACCAGGCGCGTGGACTGCGTGGGCCGAGGGGCTGAGGGCAGCCGGTGGTCTTGAGGCCGGGCCCCAAGCCCGAGGAGTTGAACTAACAAAGAGCAAATTGCCCCCGAAGCCCCCCACGCCTCCCTCCGGCGAGCCCGCCCCGCGACCCTCCCCAAGTTGAGGGCCCAGCACGCCGATTCGCGGCGGGGCCTGCAGCCAGGCCGAGGCCGAGGCCGGGGCCGGATTTGCGGTTGGGATGCGGGAGACAGCTAGAGGTAAGAACACAAGCAGCCCCCCTACCCCAGCACCCTTAGAGAAGCGCCGGCGTTTCCCGCCCGGGGTCAGCACAGGCAGGAAAAAAGGGGGAAACGAGGCGGGCGGGAGGTCCCAAGCCGAGAACGCCGCCGCCGGGCCCTTGCTTTCCAGGGAACCGCCGCGCTTTGTTACCGTCTGGGAGAAGCTCCTGCCGCCGCTGTTGCTGTTGCCGCCGCCGCCGCCGCCGCCATCGCCCCCGCTCCGGGGCGTCGCTTCCCGGCGGGTCTCGCTCTCCTCGGCCGAGTACTCGATCTCCCCCTCCTCGGTCTTGCGGCGCTTGGCCTGGCTCTCGTACTCTCGATCCTCCTCAAATGTCTCCCTGGGGGAGGAGGAGGAGGAGGAGGACATGGCGGCGGCCGGAGGGACTGGCGAGCGGGCGAGCGGGCGGGCGGGCAGGCAGGCAGGCGCTGTGGGACGCGGGCCTCGGATGCCGCCGGCCAGTCCCCTGCCGTGGGCTGAGCGGCCCGGCCGTCCGCTGGGGCTCGCGCTCCCAGGAGCCGGGGGTGGCTGAGGAGAACCGGCGGACTGAGGGGAGCGCCCCAGGGGGAGGCTCCGGAGGGGCCGCTCCCCTTTATTACCGAGCCAACATTCAAGCCCTCTCCCTCCTTCTCCTCCTCCTCAGTCTCCGCTTCCAGCCCCGGGGAGCGAATCTAAGGATGGGAACGCAACCGTGGTTTCCGGTCGTCCCTCCTCCCCCCCTGAGCCGCTCTCTCCGCCGCCCAGGCCGAGCCTCCGCCCCCGCCTTGGCGGCCGCCGCGCCGGATCAAATCCAGCCGCAAGCCCCAGGGAAGTGCCCCCCTCCTCCGCCGACCCGCCAAGCCTGGATCCCCGTTCCCTATTGGCAGCAGGGAAAGCCGACCAGGCTTCTGATTGGCTGGAAGGGATGTTCGTCAAAATTACTCCGGGGAGGGGGGGGTGCCTTCAGAACTCGCCCAGGGCTTGCGTGTCTTGGCGGCGCAACGCTCGCCTCGCGCGGTCTTGGGGCCGTTTGGCCACGGTGGCCGTTGGCTCGGTTAGGCTCTCCAGCCGGAGGCGAGGCTCGAAAGGGACTAGAGAGGGATGACGCGTTGTGCGTCGTGGCCGAGGCTGTGGGTGTTAACCGCCGTCCCGCTAATTTAAATGCCTTTTATTACTTCAAAAGAGGATGGGAAAACCCTCTCTAGTCCGTGGAGACACTGCCGCGTGCGGGCGCGCACACACACACACACACACGCACGCACACACACTCACTGGAACCGTAACACAAATCTCCCTTCTCCCCACGTTGATTGCAAACTTTTGTGCAACTCGCGGTCGCTCACCTGCTTTTCAACCTTTCCTTGGGCCGCGAGGTGCCGTCTGCAGGAGGACCTGTCAGTTTGATGTCAGTATTCTGTCAGTATTCTGCAGTCTTCCTACAATTCTTACAGGGAACCTGCGTAAGCTCCTGTCCCAACTATATGCGGGCTTTAACTCTGCCAGTTAAAACTTCATCCCGATTCATTATCGTTTATTTTTCAGGACTCACAAAGTCTTTTATCTGTCCCTCGGATGACATCTTACCACTTCCGAGCCCTGAGGATTCTCGCCCAAGCCTTCAGCCATGTTCTTCTCTGCAACAGGGCCCCGTACAGCAGAGCGTGCAGGACCTGTGCACTTCGCGTCCTAAAGCTAACACATCTAAGGAGTTTAACGGTGCTGAATGTCCTTGACAAGTAAGGGCCCAGCATGACTTTGAGTAGAGAAACTGGCAATAGATATGCCCAACTGCCTTGTTCCTGCTCCTTGGAGAGCTGCCTGAGATGGCTGTTGGCCCTGTCCCTCACGTGTTTTGCCAAATGTGTCTCTTGCTCTCCTTTCCCAACCGTGGATTGTTTCCTCTTGTAGCCCAAATCTCTCCAAAGTTATTTCCAATCCCTCCCACCTTCCAACAAAAGCTAGCTTTATTTATTGCTGACAGTACTTTAACATACACTGTATGTTATCATTTGTTGCCTGCATTTGGAATCCAAATGCAAGTTTCTCCACAGCACTGTACAGCTAACATCAAATTGGAGCACAGCTACAGGTATACATGGACAAAATAGTACATTTAAAAAAACTATCATTGGACATGACATGATAGTCCAGTAGCTAAACCCTCTGGCTGCTCTGATAGCCCAGTGGCTAAATCCTCGCCTTGTTTGCATCACTGGGATCCCATATGGGTACCAGTTCACATATCTGATTGCTCCACTTTCCTTTCCAGCTCTCTATTTGAGGCCTAGAAAAGCAGTCAAGGACGGGTCAAAGCCTTGGGACCCTGCACCTGCGTGGGAGACCCAGAAGAATTTCCTTGCTCCTGGCTTTGGATCAGCTCAGCACTGGCCGTTGTTGCCATGTTGCCACTTGGAGCGTGAACCAGCAGATGGAAGAGCTTTCTTTGTCTCTCCCTCTCTCTGTAAATCTGCCTTTAAATAAATAAATAAATAAATAAATAAATAAAAGCTGTTGTCCACATTAGGAGGAAATGGAAGAGGAAGAAGACAGAAGGAACTGCAGCGTTGGCTACAGATGAGAAAAGAACCTTAAAGCGAGCAGCAAGGACGGAAACAATTATACAGTTTTGTGTAAAAACTCTTCTGGTTGGTTCAAATGTCCCCAAAACATATTTGGAATGTCAAGACAGAGACTGGCCTTCAGAAAGCTGTACAACAAACATTTAAAAACCACAGAGGTCTGAAAACCTAGGTTATGTGTGACCATTTGCACGCTCTGATCTTTTTGTAGCAGGCTCATAGTTAAAGATCAAGAAAGAAGAGTAAATGAATTGGTGATTCACTTGCCAAGAAAACTTTCCTTGAAATGGGAAGTAGCCAGTGCAGACATTTTCATTTTGCCCAAAAAAGAATCATGAGCTTAAGACTTTCTCATTATTTTCACTTTGGACAAACAGTAAAATGTTCTGTGACATAATTTGGCGTAATGTACCAGTGCTGTGGAATAATAGCACCTATAGTATCCGTATCACATACGGGCACTGGTTCCTGTCCCAGCTGCTCCACTTCCAATCCAATTTTGCTCTGATGGCTTGGGAAAACAATAGAGAATGGGCTCAGGTCCTTGGTCCCCTGTACTCACATGTAAGACTCAGCCTGGCTGCTGGCTTTGGATAGGTTCAGCTCCCACCCTTGTGGCCATTTGGAGAGTAAACCAGTAGACAAAAGATCTTTCTGATGCTCTCTCACACAGTCTGTGAAATCTGCCTTGCATATAAAAATAAGTCGGCAGTAGCACTTAATATGTGTTTGTTGTTTACAATGCGAAACTACTTGTTAATTTTGTTTTCTCTGTATTTTCATATGCAAGGTAAATTTGGTTTGATGAATTTTATTCACTCCAACCATGGATTTGTTAAGCTTTATATAAACTTTCCAAAGATTTCTTGAGATGTTGGGAATATTTTGGATTCTCCACCAATGGATCCCACCAAGTGAAAATGCAACTCTTAACACCCTTCCGGAAAGGAAGCCTGGCCTCACTGAGCCCAGATAGTGTTCATTCTAACAGTAGGCAGGGATCAACACGTGCTCTCATTAAATTTTATTTCTTTATAGCTTACATTCAACTGTATAGTTAAAAAGAAAACTGACCAGTTAGAACATCAGTCAGCCTACTGTCCATGGATATCAGGGCTGGCTGTAGAATATTCTCACAGTTTATTAAGGAAAATGCTTATCCCCAGGAGAATAGCCAAAGAGGGAAAACCTAGATGATATTCTGCATGATTTAACTTAGGTGAGATAAAGAATTCACACACCACCCAGGAGACAGAAATACTTCAAAGGAAATCAGAAAGAACGTCTGAATGTCATGACCATCTGGAGACTTTTGATGGCCTTAGACCTCTGGCCCATTTTCTGAGGGTTTCAGTGGTTGGGTGCTGTCTAGGGTAGGCACCAGTCATGAGCTCACTCAAAGGGGATTCAGAAATCGGCCTAGAATAGGAGACAGGCCTGGGGACATCACTGGTTCCCCAAAGGCCCCCTTAGTTTAAATCTCATTTACCGACCTCCATAAACTTTTACTGTGCTGGATGATTCGGTCTAAAAATACCATGAGTAGATAACTGTCTTCCCAAAGCTTGCATCCAAGTTGAGGAGACAAGACACATATCCAAGAGATAGGCTACAAGGAGCATATATGCAGGAATACATATGCAAGAATAATACATATGCACGTTGTACAACCTGCCGATCACTGAAGGGTTATGAAACTAGATTCTGCCAGACCCTCAACCAGAAGCACTATCAGTACTTCGTCCGTTATACAATAAGGAAATCGTCTTGGTTTCCGCGCCCGATTTAGTAAATTGGAAAGCCAGGATTGGAACCCAAGCCATCAATAGCCATCAGGAGAACAATGACTGAATTACCCTGTGATTTACTACCATGCGCAGTTCAGACATAATGTACAGTTAGTCATCATGATGCTACTGGATCCGCTGTCATTCTGAAAGAAGCGGTGACTAGGTTATCATTTGTATAAAAGAATTTAATTTATTTCCACAGAAAATTATGAAACTGTGTGGGGTTTTTATATTTAATTTCTGTGGAAAAGGCCCCAAAATTATGTGAAAAGCACCACGATTATCTGATGCACAGATAATTTGAGCAACTAGAGATGTAAATCACTGAGTTTTTCATGTTCAAACTTCATGTCCAATGTTACTGCTACTTCATTAAATATGTGGAACTTTTTTTGGTTTGTATTGGAAAATCAGATTTTCCAGAGAGAAGGAGAGACAGAGATAAAGATCTCCCTTCTGCTGGTTCATTCCCCAAGTAGCCACGATAGCTGGAACTGAGCCAATCCGAAGCCAGGAACCAGGAACCTCATCTGGGTCTCCCACACGGATGCAGGGTCCCAAGGTCTTGCGCCATCCTCTTCTGTTTTCCCAAGCCACAAAGCAGGGAGCTGGAGGGGAAGTGGAGCAGCCAGGACATGAGCCATGATCCACAAGGGATGCTGGCTCATGCAATGTGAGGATTTAACTAAGCAACCACACTGGGCCCAATATGTGGAACTTTTGTTTCCTGTTCAACTCCTGCAAAAATTAGATAAACCATTCATGGACTCCTTATTGTGAGCCACAATTCCACAGCACTGGAGCCATAAAGGTGTATCGGGAATTAAGACAATATATTCAACATGAAAATCTGCCTCTCAAAAACAAATCAACTTCTTAGGACATGTTGTGATATCCAGGATTCCTTGTTCAACTTTCCTGCTTGGACACAAGGCACCAGGAAAGAGCAAATGGCTGGGCTGCAGTGAGCAGGCCCTTTCATTCAGCCTGCCTATGATTTGAGAGAGTGAAAGGCAGCCACAGTTCCAGAAGGATGAGCATACAGGAAATGCCTCAAGCACTATTAGTTCAGAATGTAGTCAAGTGTAACCACAAGGGCTCCTCTTGGAGGATCTGTCATGTGCACCTGTTATACATATCTAGCTGCTGGTGTTTGGCCTCTATTAAAAAAAAAAAAATCACACTGAATCTATACAAACTAGGTTTTTAGAACTGCTCAGTAGCAATGCTGGGATCCAGAACGCCCATGTGGCGGGCAGGAGCCATCACCTGCTGCCTCCCAGGCTGTACGTGAGCAGGAAGCTGGAAACAGGGGTAGAGCGAGGACTCAAACCCAGGAATGCGGGGAGCCACCAAGGGTGTTTTAACATCCCTGCAAATACCCACTCCGAAATTCATATTCTGTCAGTGATAGCCACTTACCCTTAGCCTTAGAAGTACTATTTAAGTTAGTTTTATTTTTATGTGAATTGATAGTAGTTTGGGTATTAAAAAAAATAATAACTGTAATGAATACAGACTAAAATGATCACACTCTTTCCACAATTGGAAGTGATTAGACGATATCAAATTTAATTCACATTGCATCAGAAAATACATATGAAATCAGCAAACAATTGTTCAGTCTTAAAAACACAGTGTTACTGATTGTCCCAATTATTGTTTCTTCAAAAGAAAAACAGCTCAGGGATCAGGGCTATGGCACATCATGTTGAACTTGCAACACTGATATTCCATATCAGAGCGCCGGTTCAAACCGCAGCTGCTTCACTTGCAGCTTCTTGCTAATGCCCTTGGGAAGTGAGCGGACGGGGGTCCAAGTGTCTGTACCCCTGCCGCCCACGTGCAAGACCAGCATGGGCTTCTGTTCTCCTCTTGGCGCTTCCCCAACCCTGGCTACTGTGGCCACTTGGACATTGAAGATTTGCATTTTTCTGTCACTCTGCTTTTCAATTAAGTTTATAGTAGTAGAAAAAAAGAGAGAGAACATGATGAAAGGAAAAAAATAAAAGTTTGGAGGTCCCAGTTCTCCTTTATTAAAGTTCAGCAAACTGAAAATATCTTGGCAAAGGCCTACCTCACCTATCAAAGAAGTTTTTTTAAAAAAAGATTTATTTTTTATTATTGGAAATGCATTTATAGAGAGGAGGAGAGACAGAGAGGAAGATCTTCTGTCTGATGATTCGCTCCCCAGGTGGCCGCAACAACCAAACGGAGCCAGTCCAAAGCCAGGATCTCCCACACGAGTGCAGGGTCTCAAGGCTTTGGTCCGTCCTCGACTGCTTTCCCAGGCCGCAAGCAGGGAGCTGGATGGGAAGTGGGCCTGCCAGGAGTAGAACCGGTACCCATATGGGATCCCGGCATGTGCAAGGCAAGGACCCCAGCCGCTAGGCCACCTCACTGGGCCCCAAGAAGTTTTCTTGGTTGGCAAGAAAACCATCTTCTTTTTTGGTCTTGGAGGCTGAAACTTGCAATTAAAAAAATGGTTGGGCTAACAAACAGAGCATGGCTTTTTTTTTAAAGATGTATTTAATTAGTTTTATTGGAAAGGCAGATACACAGAGAGGAGGAGAGATAGAGAGGAAGACCCTCCGCCTAATGATTCACTTCCCAAGTGACTGCAATGGTCAGAGCTGAGCTGATCCATAGCCAGGAGCCAGGAGCCAGGAACTTCCTCTGGGCCCCACACATGAATGCAGGGCCTCAAATCCCCAGGCTGTCCTCCACTGTTCTCCCTGGCCACAAGCAGGGAGCTGGATGGGAAATGGGGCTGCCAGGATAGGAACTAGC